GAGTCTTAAGACCGGGAATGACACCATGACATGCTTAAACTGCTCGAATGACATGGTGGCTTCTTACTACCAATGGATAGCATATTCTAATAATTAAAACTAATTTTCTACAATAGTTTAACAAACAAGGAGTACTTCGTAAATAGTTTAAAGGCCAAATAGCGCTGATACCTCTCGTGATTTGCAAAACAGGCACCAATACCTCGACCTGGCAAAACAGAACCGGAACCGATTACCCGAACCGAAATATCCGAAACCGAAATCGAAATAACCCGAAAAATAAAGATCCGATCTATAACCGAAAACCCGAAATGATCCGAATCAAACCGAAACCGAACTAAATAATTCATATCCGATTTAAATCCAAAACCGATAATATCCGAATCGATTAAACCCGAAACCGATTAGACCCGACACCGATAATACCCGAAACCAATAAAACTCGAAACCGATTAGACCCGAAACCGATTATATCCGAAACCGATTAGAACCTACATCGATAAATTTGGAACTATGTTTTCCTTTCAATAAGCATATTATAGTTTTAAATTTTTAGTTTTATTTTACCATTTAAACTAATTACATTACTTGCTCATTCCTTCATAAAATGGATTATCTTCTTGAAAAAAAGTACAAAATTTCATGTCTTAAATTTATTATGTGTAGAAATTAAAGATAAGTTATATATATATAAATGATAACGCACAAACAAATAAAATTTCCGTAATTTTTAAACAGTAAAGTGTGATATTCTTTTTGAGACGAAAGGATTATATGATGAATTGTATGGAATAACTAGATTTTATCCTGATTTCAACCCATTACAATAAAATTTATTGATTTGAGTTAATTTGATTAGTTTCAAACCAATTTACTCAATATTAGTCAATAAAATTTGATGCTAATGTTAGCATTTTGAAAAGACTTTCTAGCAACATCATTTAGTGTTATCATTTTCAAATTTGATCTACACCATTGCATTTAAGTGTAAAATTAATTATATTTGACTCTATTAAATTTAATTTAATCTATTTTCAACAAAATACACTCAATAATTTATAAATTTTTCATTCAATTGAATAAAATTCACCTAATTTCACCCAATTTTACTCAATTTTTTACCAAAATATATTCAAATGGAACATAACACTATTTGATCTTATCTCTTATCTTTTCATTTATAAACATAAGTATATTAGTAGATGTGAGAAAAGTTTGATATTTCAAAACTAAATTTTAAAATCAGTTTAATTATATTAAATTTTTATCATTATTTAAATATATATGTTTTCACAATTTATAGTCCAAATTTGTAAAATGTGACTAAAAAGTCAAAAAGGGAAGACTATTTAGGGTACAGATAATATAATTAGAAAAACATATAAAAAAATATGAGGTATTCAATTGATGATAGATTGATAAATGTGATAAAACATAAAAAGAAATATGGATAGTTAAATTTTAATTAGAAAATAATATATATCGAAAATATATTTGATCCGAAATCGAAATATATCCGAACCGAACTAGACCCGAAACCGAAATATATCCGACTCAAATTGTATCCGAACCGAAATCTATCCGAACCGATTTATAACCGAACCGAATCTGAACCGACTCAAAACCGAACCAAACCAAAAAATGTATCAAACCGAATCAAATCTGAACCGAAATTTAACCGATCCGAACCGAACCGAACCGATTATAACATATAACCGAAAGATATCCGAATCGAAAAAATCCAACCCGAAACCGATCCGGTTGATTCGATTGCCACCTCTACCAATACCCCCTATGTTTTCAAAACTTATTTCTAAAGTCCATGTGGTTTCATAATGCTGCACCCGTACCCCTTTGATCATTATCCAGCCATTTTTCCGGCGAAGAAGGGGGGCATTAAGGCATATTTTCTAAACCATAGGGGGTAATAGTGCTGATTTTTATTTCTTGCTTATTTTTTGTTTTTTTTCATTTTTTCCTTTTTTGTTTCATATATTAATAAATGTTTTTTTAAAATTATTTTTATAATGTTTTTAAAACTTAAAGTTATTTTTATTTGCTTATTTCTTGCATATTTCCTTTTTTGCTTATTTCTTGCATATTTTCTAAACCAATTATTTTTTTTTAATAAGACTTTTTTTGCGTATTTTAATTTTTTTATTTCGTTTTTCCATATTTTTTTTATTCTGGGTTTTTTTAACTTTCCAAAAAATTATTTTATTTCAAACACAAAGAATTTTAACATTTTTAAAACATTATGAAATATTGAAAATGTAATTTAAAAATATTGAAAATGTAATTTAATATTTTTTATTTGAGTGAACAAAGCTCCACATTTCTTCTTCAATATTTTTCTGAGTATTCATAAACATCTTTCAGCTCTCACACTTAAAAATTAAATTTGGCTATTTGTGAAATCCGATCCATTCTTGAGCATATGTTTTCCTCATATATTATGAACACTTATTGAGCTTCTATAGAGTGTTGTATTGTTTTATAATGCACTCACATTATCTATAGAGCTTTTATAGAGCGTTCTATAGAAGAAATACGCTCACATTATCTATAGAGTGTTGTATTATTTTATAGTATATACAAATCATCACACGTGATAGAATTTGATAATAATTACTCTTATATATTGAATAATTAAGGTTCCATCCATGTATAAAGGAAATCAAAGAAAATCTAAATCAGAGTATAGTTATAATAATTATAGTAACAATAGAATAAAAAAAATAAATAACAATATCTTGTTTTCTATAATCCCCCGCAAGCTGGTGGAAGCAGTTTTGTTAGAATGTATATGCTTGAAGCTTAAAAGAGGGAACATTATGAGTAGTCATGGTACCTTTATCATCCTTGTCGAGATAGCAAGAGGTGCACATTGGTGTGTAAATGGATTTGGATTTGGTAACGTCGAATCGCTTTAACAATTCCCTGCATTACTTCGTTTGACACACGAATATACCTTCTTTGTATTGTTCAATTTGCAGCTCAAGGAAGAATTTTAATTCTCCCATCATCGACATCTCAAACTCTCTTTGCATCATATCGGAAAGTTCTCTGCATAAAACTTCGTTAGTAGCAGAGAATATATATGATATGATCCATGTAAACTTGAACCAAAAGGATGTCTCGGTTATCATTTTTGATAAAAAGAGTAGTGTTGACTTGACCTCGTTTGAACTCATGGTCCAAAAGAAATTTGTTTAACTGTTCAAACCATGCACAGGGTGCTTGTTTGAGACCGTAAAGCGTCATTTTGAGTTTGAAGACATGATCAGAAAACTCATAGGAAGGCTCCCCATCCTATCAAGAATTATTCAAAAATAATTTTTTGAATATATGAAGGAAGCTTTTGGAGTAGAAATGTGTCCCAAAAATATTTTGTGAGTCAAATGATGTACACACAAAAATATTTAAAATATATTTTTCTTAACCACAAAAAAGTTGCATATCTAAAAAAATATTTTAAAAAACTTTGGCACACTTTTTGTAATTGACCCAATAAAGTATTTTTAGACAGAGAAAAGTTTATTTATCAACTGACTAAAAAATAATAATTTTTCCCTCAGAAATTAATTTGTTTAAGTGAAAAGTATTTGTCATCCGTACAAATATTCCTACGACTCAATAAAAATAAAGTCTTCTGAATTTTCACTTCACTTCCAAAAACTCGCGTAGGGATTGAAACAACAAAATATATTGCTGTAAAAATCATGATACGCCACTTTTCTTTCTTGAATAAAATATAAACTTTCGTTCGTCATTGCGTTTGTAATTTATCAAAACTTGAAAAATAATATTAAAAAATATCCTAAAGGGGTTTGAACGTACTCATGTCCAACATAAAGATCATAATGACATCAAGTCTAAGGATAGTTATTCCAATGGTCGAATGAGAACACTAATAACACATTTAAAATAAAACCCATGTAGTATTCTCATGGTGGGTCAGTCCAGTACCATATCATATCCCAGATATGCACCTACGTATAGTTTGAGATATCACAATATCCATAACCTATGAGACGCAACTATCTTATCTCATACGTATTAGTCTTCGTATATTATGGCGTCCGTATTATAATAATATTCGACTTAGGACATTTTAGACAGTCTCTATTAATGTAAAAGCCTCATAATCAAAATATCGTAGTTCTAATCAATGCTACCAGAGCGCTAAGTCTATGGACAAAAGCCATGTTTAGATACGCGAGATGTATAAACAATCTTTAGGGCATTTTATTCTTGATAAATATTCATATACCGACATTGGCCTCTAGGGCTCATATATCCAACAATCCCGCCTTTATATACAAGTGATTAATTTTACCTAACACTCCACTCGTTGTTCTCGGTTCACCGGAATTTTACACTTTTATTCATTTAATACTTAAGTATACTTTGGTTTAAAAAGGTTCGGTTTTCAAAGCCCAATACCAAAGTAAAACCGTTTGAGTTTTTGTGTTCGGTTTTGTTTAATTTATGGTAAATTTTGATCAATTTTGGCTCTATTTTCATTTTTCAGTTTTTTACAACCAACCCCCATGTAAGGGTATGAATGTACGTACCTTAATTGATAAAATATTTTTCCTTTCAACATTCGTTCTATTAAAAAGTTACATATTCCCTTATTAACTCTTAATCTACATATCAAATCATATCTATTCGTTTTCAACCTACACTCATCATATTCTACTTTTACAATTGACATCAAGGATAATTTTGGAAAGTTAAAACAAAAATATCTCTTTCTTTAAATTTCATACAAGTGTAAATGGAAGAGAGATTTTGAGACGCAGAGTGTAATTAACAATTTTAATTGGTAAGAGGATGGGATTTAAATATTCCCTTAAAAGCTTGGATCCAAGTAAAGTATGACAGTTAATTTTTATTTCATATGTATTGCAATTAAGATTGTTCCTAAATTTGTTTGAATTGTATTTATTTTCTTTTATGTATAAATAGGGGCATTCAACTCATTGGAAATTGGAATACATACACTAATTATCAACAGCTGTTACTCCAATTTCTCCTCACAAGCGGCTTGTTTATATAAGAACATAAATCCATAAATTGGTAATATGGTGGCATTTAACAAAGCTTGTTTCTTCGCTTTCTTCATTGTGTTTGGTACGTACTTTCATTCTTTTACATATTTAAATTATTAAGGATCATCATTAGAATAGTGTTCATTAAAAAGTAACGTTAGAGTTACAAACACTTTCTTCACAAGCTTACCACTCCCTCCGTTCCTGAGTATTGGTCCACTTTTGTGTATTTAAATTTTTATTTTTTAATTATTTAAGATATTTTATTAACTTGGTGAGGTGCACAAATGAAAAGTTTGTATAGTTTTTGAACAAAGAATTTGTGTAGTTTTTCATCTACAACTTGATAAGAAAATAGTAATGTAATCGCTTATTAATTAATAGATATTTTAACCTTTTCTATTGAAGTACAAAAATCTTAGTTTTTTTACATTATTTAAATTACATAAGAATTTGTATAAAAAATAATTTCAAAAAAAATATCATAAATTTATTGTAAATTTTCAAAATGGATGACTAAGATCTAAAAGCTTACATGTTGCTAATACCTCTCTCTCTCTCATTTTTTAATATTTTACTTTTACATGTCCCTAATTAATTAATTAATTTTTACATTTCATTTTAAAATATAAATTATTTGGTTCCCATCAATTCTATCTTCTTTGCACTAAAGGACATCTAAACACACAATTCAATTTCACGTCATAGACTCTCTTAAAAACACTTTGTAAATAGAAATTGAGAAAATCGATCAAATAGGGACGATGAAGTACAAAAATATGTTTATGTACTAAAACATTAAATCTCTTGGAATTTTGCATTCTCAACAAAAACATTTGATGAGTTGGTCGGTTGAACGTGTGAATTTTACATAACAGGTATTTTGATACTGGAGAACGAGGTTGAGGTTAAAGCCGATCATGTTTATTGCATAGATGAATGCGACCCTCAAGCTGCCTATATGATTTGCCCACCTCACAATGAGAGGACTGATGGTGTTTGTAAAAATTGTTGCCAAATTAAATACTTTCCTGAACTACAGGGATGCCACCTCTTCTCCGCTAATGACACTCTTATATGTTAGTTTCTCATTTGTACTCATTGATGTAGTTCCGAAAAATTTTATGGAAATAAAACAAGTCACTTAATCCATTATTTTTTAATACTTTTTGTAACATTCGTTGTTTGCACCCTATTAAATTAATACATACTCGATGGGATCAATGTGTGTATTTAAACATTTAATTAATAAGAAGCTTTAATTACTTATATATAGATACTTTTTTTTATTAAATATCACGTGATCCAAATTATAAGTACATACTCATCCGTATAAAATAAAACTTACATGAGGCAAGGAATGAGAGTACCAATTTTGAAGATCAAGCGATAAACTAGTAACATATCTCATAAAAAACTTTCTGTTCCAATTAAAACACTTATTTACGGATGAATATCAATCTTTAATTTGATCAATCTATTACATCATATCTTTATTCATTATAAATTTAATTACTAATTGTTAGACGCCTCGCACACCTCTAGAGGGGGGGTGAATAGAGGTGTTGCCCAAAAGACCAGTTTTTTTCGCGGAAACGTTCTTCACGAATATTCAATAAAAAACAATGCATCACAAACAAAATAAAGTGAAGGGTAAGAGCAATGCACACACAATATATACTGGTTCGGCCTAAATGCCTACATCCAGTCCCTGAAGCAATCGTGCCCAGGCCTTCACTAACCCGTCAAACTTTACGGAGTTTGACAATCCGAATACAACTCGAGAACTTGATTTCACAAGCCTCTTATCTTACCACCGAAGTTTTGATTTCACAAAACTCAGGATTTCTTCCACCTAACGTTTGATTTCACAAACCATTAGGATTTCTACCACTTGGTGTAATGCCAACACCAAGAATACAAAACCCTTACAATAAAGTAAGAAAACAAACCGCAACCGAGTAATTCTCCCAACACGGAGTAGATTGTTGCAAATACAATGAAGTCCTTTAGAATATGGCAATATCTCTCAAAGACTCAAGCAATGAGGAAAAACTCAAGCAAGAAATGATTTAGCAATCAAAGCAATTGTCTTGCTTGGATATAAGGAGGGGATTGAGTAGAATCTCTTTGGATATTCAAAGGATATGTTCTTCAAAGTGTTCTAAGTGCTCTTATGAAAATAATCACGAAAGTAGGTAGTTTATAGAAGTTAGGGAGTGGATAGAGATGAAAAGCATTCAAAAAACTAGCCGTTTGATAGTTGAAACTAACGACTTATTCGAATAACTCAAGAACTATTCGAATAGTTTTGATCAATCGCGTGACTTGAAAAAACCAGTTCCTATTCGAATAAATGGTGATTTATTCGAATAAATCAGGTTGAAAAACCAGGACTTATTCGAATAAATGGTGATGTATTCGAATAAAATAGGTTAATTTCAGTCACAGGAAAGATCACGACTTATTCGAATAAACTAAAGATTATTCGAATAGAAAGGCAACTTCCCCACACAAAGGCTGATCTAAAATGTGTTTTAAAGGTAGGATGATAAGGGAATGAACCTTAGAGATGCCATACTCTTTAACACATAATCTAATACCTAAAACACTACCCAACTAAGGAAACAACCTCTTCGGTCTCATTCCTTCCACCGATGCTCAAGTCCCTTCTTCACGGACGGATATGAACTTGTTGTAGCTTTGATTCTTAGCCTTGATGCACAATATGATGATGATGTTTTGTCACCCTTTTGTCATTATCAAAACCTAAAAGACAATGGGCAAAGGACATTGCAAAACTATATATTCATGATAGCACATTGTCCAACAATTTCTCCCTTTTTGATAATGACAAACCCATTAAGAGATATGCATCATACAAGGCTAGTTCCCCCTCAAGTATTGCATCAAAAATCAAACAAAGACATACAAATCTATACTATCTTCCCCATTAAGATATGCACAAATACAATTTCCCCTGAATATATGCATATCTACACCATCTTCCCCCTTTTGACATTATCAAAAAGAGATGGGCAAAAAAAAATATGCTCATGCAAATAGATATCAAACCAACAAATAATATCACATTGTCCAACTAAAATATAAATCAACATTAGTTGGAATTAATAAAGTGAATCAACTTCCCCCTTAATTGATGCTTCACCCAATTATGTGCTTGGCGCATCTACTTCAACTCAAGTCGAAGTGTTCAAGCACACCTTCCTTAATGAATCTACGAAGCAAATTTTGGTACCCAATGCCTTTTGGGTCCAGGGGTGTTATGGCAATAATAAAAATCATATCAACGATGCATCACATTATCTTGACTTAGAAGCAAGTGCCTATACTTAGCGTAACAAACTGGTGTGATGTGTCCTACTTTATTACAATAATGACACCTAACACTAGGGTTGTTCATGTTTCTAGGACGTGTGATGTGCTTTCTAGGTTGTCTATCAAATTTAGAATTCCTAGAATGACTTAGTTTATTTCTAGGTGATCTATAGTATTTAATCCTAGAGGTAGATTTTAGTCTAAATTCATTTTCAACTTTCTCCATAGCTAATTTCAAATCGTCTACCTCTTTCTTAAGCACTTCTATCTCAAGACTAGAAGACTTACATGAAGAACAAGGTGAATCATTTAATTTCAAATTAGTCTCCTCAAAAGTCTTATTTTCAATTTTGAGGGAATCAATTTGTAACGCCGCAAAGTATACCCTAAAATTTATTGAATTAAATATTCAATTAAACAAAATTTGTTTTGATTAAAATAAATTATTGTTGGGCTTTGGGCCGAAATAAAATGTGTTTTGATATCCAATATCACAAGCAGGATAAATCTCATAGAAATAAATCCAATATGTTGACTATTTGTGTGGTATTGATTGGGAATCTGAGTACAGACCCAAATCAAGAATAAATTAAGAAATTGACTTGTGATGTAAATATTGAAAAGATTTACTAAAATAAATCATGGGAATAAATGATATGAATTAATCATGAGAACCTTTTTGAATAAATGTCAATTGAATCAATTTTGACTCTGTCAAAGTCAAACACCAAAAATATGATGTCGGAAAAAGTATAACAAATAAATGTAAAAATTATATCGTTGGATAGAGTTACGGTGCAAACAGAATTCAATTCGAAGAAAGTTGGACCAAAAAGTGTACCCCGACTGGGACCAAAATTAGTCCCAATCAGGGACGGCGCCTCCTACTCCACTCAGCCGATCGAAGATACGTTCCTATGCAAATCCTACGGAGCATTGTTTGGTTTCTTCCTCCATTCCTTCACTATATAAGACCACCTTCACTCCCTCAATTCTCCATCATTTCTCACAATTCTCATATATATATATGTGTGTGTGTATATGAATCGCTTGCGTATCCCCATTTATACATAAATAACAATAATATAATGCAGCTAAAACAATTAAACAATCATGATTGCAATACACATATATCAAATAAAAATTATCTCTTATACGTTTTTTACTAAGAATTTTTAAAAAATTATTTACATACTATACATTCCATCCTCTCCTACATGCTCTCTATGTTTCTAAAAAGAGTTCCTAATATGACTAAAGAGTAAAATAAGGAGTTTATATTTGTAGCTGCGTTTTCAATTTTTCTCTTTATATAATTGGTAAAAGTAAAATGTGATAGGTAGATTATTAAGGGAGAAAGAAGCAAATAGGACTAAAACATTATTGAAGATATACCAAAATAGGACTTCCATGTTTTTATTCCCAAAATAGGACTTATATTACCAAACATGGTCATATACATTACCAAAAACGTATAGTAATGTGCACATGTACACTGTCACATTACCACAATGCAAAGTCACATTACCACAGTGCAAAGTCCTATTTCGAGAAAAAACATGAAAGTCCTATTTTGGTGCTTTTCTCTATGTTTTAGTCCTATTTAGGGTGATTTCTAGATTATTAATGAAAATGTATGATCTGATAGGTATGGTAAGCAAAAATAGGAGTAAATTTAGATTTTTAATAGAAAGTGGAAGTGTTTAAGGAAAATTAGAAAAAATGAAAGAGGAAGTGTATTAAAAAACGAAGAATGTATTATTTTATTAATTACTCCCAATTTCTCTATTTAAGGTTTGTACGTACACTCATATAGTCATATTCTCATTACTTATCTCTATATCTCAATGTCTTTGGCGGACATCTTACACACACACACACAAATCACACGAATACTCCAAAAAAATATGAAATTTTATATTAATACTCCAAAATTATATAATTTACACCACTTGTCCTAAAAATTACTCAATCTCATACCAACTAAGCAGAATATGGGGCATTTTAAACGTGAGTGTAAATTATTATGTGTTGGTTACTACGAAGTGATAAAAATAAAGAGAAATAATGTTTCAGACAAAATAAAGAATTTTGAAGTAGATTTTTATAATAAAATATAAATACTTTATTTTTTTCAGTTTAACACATTTTATTTTAAATCGTCATGGAGGGGGTATGTATAATGTATTCAAGGTATCTTCTTTAAATTATTTTTGTAATTAATTACATATTCATACTTAATAATTACCCAGTCACCATTAAAAAAGCCACGTATTCAGCTTAATTGGTAGTCTCGAGTATTGATGTAAAATTGAATAATTTTTGGGAGCAGTGATGCCAATTTTAAAATTTTGGAGTATTAACATAAAATCACTTTTTTCTTGGAGTATTCATGTGAATTTTTCTAAAAAACGCCAAAAAAATTCCATTGCCTAATAGAAGGATATTTTTATTTTCTTATTCAAATTTAAGTTCCACTAAGAATCTACGGATAAAAGGCTATTTGATATTAGAGGATTAAAAGACTATTATAATAGAGGATTAAATATAAAAATTCCTCTATTATAAAATACTATTTATAGAATTTACTCTATTTTTAATATTAAGATAAATATATAATTGAATGGGAGTAATGAAGATATCTTAGAGTTAATGTTGTAAATAAATAGAAATATTGTCAAAGTACATTTCACATCAGAAGTTCAAGAGTAAAATAATCGTTATATAAGCTTTTGAGTTGATCGAACTAACTAATCTTTTAGATTCAATCTTTTAGTTATCTTTACATACACATCCAAAATTCTATCATTGTATCAAACACAAAGGTCACAAAATACAAAATCTTAATATTTGTACATAAATTTTACCAAGCGAACAAACAGTTTTTTTTTAAATAATTAAATTTGTCAATAATTTTGTGACTAGTATTTCTCTATTTAAATCTTATATCTCTCTAAACCAAGTTCAATCTTGCACACAAACAAAAATACTTTTCATTTGGTATTTACTTTTAGTAAATTGGAAAGTGAACGGTTTTGAAAATTAGCTTTTCAGAGCTTAAAAAAATAA